AATATTTGAGTCTTCAACTATGACTGCAGTATTCTCACTGCTCCTCATATTTCTACTAGTTTGGGATAAATGTATATGCTTCATACAGGTTCATGACATATCTTCTGGATCAAGTACACTTTTTAGCAATATAAAATACATCTCTTTCCCATATAATGTTCTTTTATCTTGCATTCTACTTCATCAGATATTATATATTCTTTTAGTATTTGTCTAGTGTATATTTATTCTTCCATTCCTCTGTTTAAAACTTTTTGGTGATATATTATTTTAGTCTTATCTCTTATAAAAAACATTTAGCTGGATCTTGACTTATTTTTATCCAAAGAGTCTCTGTCTTTTAAGAAATGATTTTAATGCACTCACATTTACCATGATTACTGATGTGTTTACATTTAGACTGCTATCCTATGTGTCATTCAGTTCCAACCACAATGAATTCCTTTCCTTAAATTACACACACCAGCTATGTTCCTTCTACCATCTTATGGCTTGCTTCCCCTCTTCATTCATATCTTAGCTGAATGTACTATCTCTCCACAAGGCTTTCTCTCATACTATCTCATTACCGTGCTTTTTTAAAAAAATAGCCATTATTACCTGAACTGATATATTTACTGGATTACTGACTTAATGTCTATTTCCCTCACTGTAAACTCCATGAGAATATGGGCCTTGTCTGTCTTGTTCACCACTGTTGGCACTTGAGTCACCTTAAACTAAAATAATACAGTGTGTTTTTAGAAGACACATGAGCCAAACTGGATTTAAGTTTATAGCTATTTGTGGCTTTATGAATGGCAAAATGGGAAGGTCTAAATTCTCATAAAAGTAACATTCTTTTCCAAAAATGCGATCTGTTTATACAATGCAAAATATCAATTTTAGAGAATATTGTATTTTCAAGCACCTTTTATACTTTAATCATCATATTTCTTAAACATTAAAAGGAATCTTAGGGTTCATTTCCCTACTTGGCAAATAAGGCAATTCAATTTTAGAAATGAGACACATACTCAGTTTCAGATGAAAATATGAACTTCTTTTGTCAGTATCAAATTCTGACACTCCTGATTAAATTACTGCCTATTTGCCATTCTGGGGGAAAAGTTCACTTTAAAATAGTAATTGCCTTCACAGAAGGAAAGAGAGTATCTTTTATCATACATACTGCATGTCTAGAAATTAGAAAGTCTCTAAGAGAATGTCAAAAGAAACATGTTAGCTAGTCTGACATACACCCTTCTTTAAGCTTAGAGAGATGACTCAGAATATTTTCTTCACTCAATGGACTGCCTCTTTCTTTGCAAGATGTCACTTACAAATGTATATTTTCCATATTTTACGTGTTTCTTTGGTACTGCCAATAAGAGTACAGGAGATTCAAAAGTAGAATAAAAAGGAAATTTAAAAATCATGCAATGTTAATAAAACATGAATACATCCTTATCTCTGAACTTCTATAGTACCTAGTAGGGAAAAAAGAAGAAACTTATATGAAGATATGTCACACCCTAAAAACCTTTTAGACCATACTTTAGCAGGTTAGTCATCAGGAGGGCAGGTTAAAATACTACTAGGTGCGGTCCCCAGAGATTCTGATTCAGTATGTGTGGGGTGGTACCTAAGAAACTGCATTTGGAACATGTTTCCAGGTATTGCTGACACTGCTAGTCTGGGAATCACTCTGAGAACCACTGTTTTAGACTATTATTTCAAATGTTTGCTTTGGGATTAAGGTTAGAGCTATATAGCAAGACCATTAACATTAAAGACAGTTTTCATTTGATCTTTGGTACTTTTTGGTATTGCAGCTCATGTATATCCCACCTCAATTTTCCCTCATTGCTTAGTTTGAAATTCTCTCAAAAGAAAATATAAAAAATTAATTCTCTTAAAATTCTGAAGGTAAAAATAGAGTAGAATTTTATATAATTTTATATATCAGTATAGGTTGGTTCAGGCATATACAAACCCAAATGATTTGGAACAAGAGTCCCGACATCAAGTGCCCCTATGTGTCAGACAGGTCAGACAGTTGATACAAATGAGTAAAGTAGGCCAGATATTGTGGAGAACTGGAGAGGTCATACCCAAAGAGGGCAGCTGCTTCTTAGCTCCAAACAGCCATCATCCAATAATGTAGACCTATTGTGGCCAGATCTTCCAAGTTTTCAAGATAAGCTGGAGATCTAACATTATGTGTAAAATGTCTCAAGTTATAAACATAAACGACTAATTTAAAAATATATGAAATATATGGCCAGCCTGTGGCTAACTTGGGAGAGTGTGGTGCTGATTAACACCAAGGCCATGGGTTCAGATCCCTATATAGGGATGGCCGGTTAGCTCACTTGAGAGAGAATGGTGCTGACAACACCAAGTCAAGGGTTAAGATTCCCTTACCGATCATCTTTAAAAAAATAAATAAATAAAAATAAAAAATACATGAAATACACAAAAGCATCTATGGGCTGGATACGGCCAGTTTATGAAGAAAGTCTCAGGAGTAATACAGGGTGAGCAATGTGCTAATCTATTCACTGTGCCCAAGGCCCACTCCCTCTAGCAGTCACCAGCTTCTAAAAGACCTACTCTCTCTAAAGACCTACTAGAGCCCCTTTATATAAGTCTCGCCCATCAAAACAAGTCCTCTGCCAGTGATCTTAGTATGGGAAAACAATGGCAAAGAGAAATAAATTCTTCATACATTGGAACCACTGATCCAAGAATAATGATTAGGATTAAAGTGACTAGGAGTTCAGGATCACTAATTTCTATAACATTAAAAAAGAAAGAAAGAGGGGCCGGCCCGGTGGCGCACTGGATAGTGCGCCGCTTGGGAAGCGCGGCGGCGCTCCCGCCCAAGGGTTCGGATCCCACATACAGACCGGTTCCCGCTCACTGGCTGAGCGAGGCGCGGGAGCAACGCCGAGGGTTGCGATCCCGTTGCCGGTCCCGGGTCCGGTGGGGGGGCGACACTGAGGGTTGCGATCTGTTGCCGGACACAGAAAAAGACAAAAGACAAAAAAAAAAAAAAGGAAAGAAAAAGAGAGAGAGAGAGAGAGACAAGGAAGGAAGGAAGAAAGGGAGGAAGGGAGGAAGGAAAGGGAAAGGGGAAAAGGAAAAAGGGAAAGGGAAAGGGAAGGGAAGGAAAGGAAAGGAGAGGAAAAGAAATTAGACCTAGGAGTACAGATTTGAGGATTCTTAAGCATTCTATCACAATGGTGATGTGATTTGATACCTATAAGTTATTTAAACACCTTGCCTAAAGATTCACTGAACTAAGAAAATCAGTCATTACAAATATGTTGAAGAGAACTACACAGGCAACATGGAATAGCAAGAATAATTCGGCTCTCGTGAGTGTGAAACTGAATCCTGATTCAGTGGAAAAGGTGGATGACAAATACATACAAGAAAGCAATAATTCGGCTCTTGTGAGTGTGAAACTGAATCCTGATTCAGTGGAAAAGGTGGATGACAAATACATACAAGAAAGAAATGGCAGCAGATGTGCCCCATATGTATTGCCCCATATGGCCTCCTTTGTATTGTTGATAAAAACAATGCACCTATGTTCAGAAAATTTACAGTCTTCCTATAGTGTATTACCATAGCAACTAGAACAATACTTCTAAAACATAAATAGGGTCAAGTCACCTCTCCACTCAGAGTAAAATCTGAAGTCCTTATTGTCACACAAAAAGCCCTGCATCATCCAGCTCTCCATGACATCTCTGATCTCATTTCCCACTACAATCCCCTTGTTGTCACTCCACAACATACTGTTTATTCACTGTTCTGTAAGACACCAAGCAAGTCCCTGCCTCTGGATCTTTGCATTTGTCCTTCCCACTGCCTGAAAAGCTCTTTCTCTGGATATTCACATAATTCGCATCCTCGTCTTTTTACCAGTGAGGACTTCTCTAACTATTCTACTTTAAAGAGATTATCTCTCTCTCCCTCTATCCCTTTCCCCACCTCTCTTTTGCTTTATATTTTCCATAATACCCCCTCACCTCCCTTTTCCTTTGTATTTTCCACATTATTCACCATCATCTGACACACTAAATATTTTACTTTTATTCCTTCTTCCAGAATGGAACCTCCATGACAAACATGTTTTTAGCTATTCTGTGTGTTCACTAGTAAAAGTATATACCTAGAATAGTGTCAAGCACATAATGGCACTCAAAAAACACTGAATAAATAAATGAACAGACAATAAAACAAATGAAAGTGATGTCTAGCATGAGTCCAGTGACTAATCAGTTAACCTCAGTTTATGATGGTCTTCAAAAGAGCTCTATCATTAGCTATACAAACTATGACATTCCTGACATTTTATAAAAGTAGAAATTAAGTTATGGAAAAGTGACATCATTTCCTCTAGCCAGTAAGTAGGATAATGAAAAGCCAGGACTAGAAAGGCCTCCCAGAGTTCAAATCCAATGCTCAAACTAAGCATCTTTTATAAACGACAACAGGATTATGACAGCTGACTATCAAACTTCAGAATTTAAAAATGTAAAATTAAAAAATTCCTAAAGAGAAAAATATTTTCTAGAAATATTCAAAAAAGGAATGCAGACTTCTTAGTTTACTTTTTTCCCCAAGTTTTTTATTGCCTCTACTCATTAAATCCCTATGAACATTAATAAGTGTCTGTGGTTGAGAGTGAATGTTCCATAGCAGAGAAAGGAAACACATGCCCAGTTTTTCATAAGAAACTTTGGAATATTTAATATTTATTCTATGAAAAAATTCAAAATAATCCTCTCAGAGAGTCTAAAATGAGGAGAATGGGTAGGAAAACAACACTACTACAAATCAGTGTCAACTGCCCTCCAACCAAATCCTTAAACATAAAATCACAATCCCAAATAAACTATTACACACAGTTTTATTTTCATTTGATGACTGAATATTTCTTTTACCATTAATAATTTCAAACTGGACAAAAAGAAAAATGGCAAGTGAATAAAAGATTTCTAAAGCAAAAAATGTGCCACTAATCAGGAATCCCAGAACTGCTCAAACATCAGTCAAAATGTTGTTGTCTCAAACTCTTGAGGCCCTCAGCCCAGGAGCTGCTGGCAGGGGCAGTTATAGGAGATTCAAACTGCACAAGAAAATACTCAGGCACTGTCAGTGAAACAACCCAATTAGATGTGTGACATTCCAAATAACTTCCCCCAGAAGACATAACCATTTACTCTCAACACTACTTACAAACTCATAGTCTCCATCCTGTGGTACTTTCCAATCTGAAGAATTTTTCAGTGGGCCAGGTATACTCTTGCCAAAGCTATTGATCTGGTTTTCCTTTTCTTTTTGTTCAAAGTATTCAAGGAAAGATGGTTTCGCAGGCTGCATGGTTTCATCCCTTCCTGAAAACCAAAAAAATAAAAGGTAAAAAAGGAACACTCTAATATTTCAGATAAGCTTAATAAATAGGTCTGTCTCCAGATGGGCTACTGTCTCTGGATCAGGGAGTCTTTCTGTTATATAAGGTTTCCTTCAAGATTTTAATGAAACTACAGAAAAATGCACAAATGCTCACTCAAAATATTTCTCATATACCTGTATTCCCATGTTTATTGCAGCTCTATTTATAATAGCCAAGATTTGGAACCAACCTAAATGTCCATCAATGGACAACTTGATAAGGAAAATGTAGTATATATACACAATGGAATACTACTCTGCCATAAAAAAGAATGAAATTCTGCCATTCACAGCAACATGGATGAACTTAGAGAAAATTACGTTAAGTGACATAAGTCAGGCACAGACAGAGAAATGTCATATGTCCTCACTCATAAGTGGGAGTTAAAAAAGAAAGAAAGAAAGATACAACAATCACAATAATTCACTGAAGTTTTAAAAGGAGAGAACAGAACTGAGACCACGAGAGTTGGGAAAGGAGAACGGGAGGTAGCAAGAAATTGGTAAAGGGCCACAAGAAATGATTATATGGTGTAATGTTGGACATATTAATTATCCTGATGATGACATAATGTACACAGGTATGGATATTCAATGCTGTACCCCACAGATGTGTACAATCAATTATATTTCAATAAAAATAAAATAAATTTAGAAAAATAAATAAAAATATTTCTTATAGAATTTCAGAGGATTCAAGGTCCCCCTAAAATATATGCAAAGATTTCCCCAGGATCCCTTTATCTAGATGGAAAGATCTGGGTTATGCAATGACTCTGAATAAGGTGCAAATAATATATTTTGGGTGTCCTATGGTAACCAGTTCCAGTAATATTTAGAGTGAAAACAAAGAAGCAAGGAAAAATACTTATTTAGCATCTACCACATATAATATTCTCTATAGGCATTGGAATAGGGAGGGGAGGATGATACCGTAGAGTGGCTTTCCTTGATAATCTCATGATCTAGTTGTACTAATGAGAAAAATATGCATGAAAAATAAAATATATAAATCACAATTCATCTACTCCATGAAGTATGATATAACTTTAAAAATACTATTTACTCGGGGCCGGCCCGGTGGCGCACTGCTACAGTGCGCCGCTTGGGAGCGCGGCGGCGCTCCCACCGAGGGTTTGGATCCCACATACAGACCGGTTCCCGCTCACTGGCTGAGCGAGGTGCGGGCGCAACACCGAGGGTTGCCATCCCGATGCCGGTCCCCGTCCGGTACGGGCGCGACACTGAGGGTTGCGATCCATTGCCGGACACGAAAAAAGACAAAAAAACGAAAAAAAAAAAAAAAATACTATCTACAAATGGTTTACAAGAAAGTTAAGGGGAAAAATAGGATACAATATTTCATGTATAGTATGATCTGGACTCTGTAAAAATCATATACATAGCAGAAAAAGACAAAACAAAACAAAACACTAGAAGAAAGTATAAACATATACCAAAATGTTAACAGGGTTTGTCTCTGATGGTAGGACTATAGGTGATTTTATTTACTCCTTTTTTAAAAAGAAGATAGTACTTAATACTGCGTAGGTATTAAATGAATAGAATTGATTATAAGAGTTACATGTACCCAGAAGATCTTGCAGACTGGATGATCAGGGAAGACTGGCAGAGGGGGCTTAGGTGGGGCCTTGAACTATCCAGGAGAAAAGAATCAGCAGTTACATTGCAGCATTTACAATATGAGAGCACGATACAGCAGTTACTAGTTACTACTATAGTAACAATGACAAAAAGAATAATTTTACCTGGCATCACTTAAAAACCTAGCTTGCTGAATGTACCTATTTCACATGATGAAGTATCTCTGTGCCTATGATTAATATACTAATATGAGGAAACAACGGGAGTTTTTTTCAGTACTTTCCATGAACATGTAGGTTTATACAACCATTTCACATAGCAAACAGGAAAAAGGATCAAAAGCTTCAGAGACTTAAGAAGTGGATGGAGAAGTGTCTAGAAGATAAAGAACAGCAACCTTTATCTTCTTGTGATGAGACAAGTAAGATTGTTTCATGCAAACTTACTTGTTTCATGCAAACTTACTTGTTTCATGACACTTGCCTAGTCCAGTTTCAAGGCTGACTGCTTCTCAGACATTTGTCATCCTTCTCACTATCACTATTGCTAAGTTCAACAGCAGCCAATTCCAGATTTGCCCACTTCCATATACTGCCAATAGCTTACTACACTGTTGCCTCCTCACTTATTGGGGATTAAACACTATATTTGATAGGACCAGTCAATAAGTACATGGTGGGGTTTTTTTGTGTGCTGCTCTAGGTACAATGTTAGATGCTTTTCATGCTTCCTTTGTTTAATTTTTAAGTTAAATTTAAGGTACTACTTCCTAATACAGTTCTGCAGGAACTACAACAAAATAAAACTTGCAAAAATGGTGCTTTAGATTTGATGACAAGTCAGAAAGCTATGTCCCTTTGCTCAGTCCCCTCCTCTGGGACAACCAGAAGAGAGAACTGGCTCAGAGACAATCCTACAGCAATTCTACACATAATCATAGAAAAAAAAGTGTTGAGCAAACCTCCTAAAGCCAAGCAACTTCAACAGTACTACCAACTGCTGACATATACAGTACATAGTATACTTTCATACAAAATATCCTGATTAGATATACTAATCAGCTGAACAAAGCAGAAGATCCACCAGAAACAAAAGAGAAAGTCCAAATGGCTATCCAAACAACTTGATAGCTATTTGAAAAAATATTCAATTAGATCTATATCTCATACCTTAAACCAGGAAAACTCCAAATGGATGAGATCTAATTATAAAAATTAAAACCATAAATACTAGAAGGAAACATGTATAAACGCCTTTAAAACCTTGGTGTGGAAAAGGCTTTCTAACTATGACAAAAATCCAGATGAAATAAAAAATAGATAAAAACTTTTGTGTGAAGAAGTCACAAATTTTTAAAAATTAGTAAGCACACATATACTATATAAGCCAGGCCAAAAGACAAAACACTGATTTGGAAGAAAACATCTGCAACAAATACCATTAAAAAAAATTTTTTTAATTTTCTTTTTTAAAGAAAATTCTAAGATCTCTTTATATATTAGGGAGATAAGCGTCTTAAAATATAAAGAATTTTTTAAATCAAGGGAATAAAAAGAAAAAAAGGAAGAAAAATGGACTAAAGACTTGATAAGATAGCACACACAGAAATATGCAACTGGTCCTTAAGCATAAAAATAATGCTTAGGTTCACTCATAATACAAGACATTCAAATTAAAACTACTTAGAGATACCATTTCTTACATTTCAGACTGGCAAAAATTTAAAAGCCTGACAGCACACTATCAGTTGGTAAAGTTGTGGGGACACAGGCATTCTCATATGTAGCTGAATGGGAATGCAAAATGGTACAAACCCTACAAAGGGGATCTAGCACTATATAAATATCAAATGGGGGAAGGCACAGAAGAACCCTTTGTGTTGTATTTGAACTGGAGGTATTTATATGAACTCGTGATTTTTTTTTTAAAAAAGGTATTTCCAAGTTTTTTCATTAAAAGGCCTTCGAGCAATGACATCCTAGTACCAATGAGCACATCTAGCGCTCAGACCTTGGTTTTCAAAAAACATTCCCTGCTAAAAGGAACTAGAACTTCTTAAGAGAAATATTTGTAGGGCAGGAAAATTACAAAGTAGGCCTGGAACATCTTTTCATGCCAAAAAAAGCAAGCAAGTTCTAAAAAACTGATGGGAACATATCAAAAGGATACAGGAGCCATCTTGACGGGCTACCCTGGTAAATTCTGGGACACTTTGAGCATTAAAAGAATACACTAAATAAAAAGAATCTATGAGGTCAGAGTGATAATCTAAAAGTGAAGGAGATTTAGGGAAAAGGGAATATTCTTCTTGAGAAAAATCATCATTTGACAACTGTATTGTGGTAACAAAAAAAAATGTCCTCTTTCTTAGGAAATATACACAGAGTATCTTCTTTCTTAGGAAATACTTAAAGTTTGAGAGTAAATTGAATATATTATGCACCAATCTCTCGTCATCACTTCTGTCATTTCATGTCTGTTTATCCATCCATCCATCCACCCATCTTTATACATGCAGAGAAATGACTAAAACGAGTTCATCAACAAAAATGACAACAAAAATATTTAAAATATTTTCCCCCATGAAATTGTTATGAAAACTATAATTACTCTGTTTTTTTTTTAAAGCATTATATCCAAGAATAAAACAATATACCTCGGGCCGGCCCGGTGGCGCACTCAGTAGAGTGTGGCGCTTGGGAGCACGGCGGCGCTCCTGCCGAGGGTTTGGATCCCATATAGAGACCGGTCCGCTCACTGGTTGAGTGCGGTGCGGGCGCGACACCGAGGTTTGCAATCCCGTTGCCGGTCACGGTACGGGCGCGACACTGAGGGTTGCGATCCCGTTACCGGTCACGAAAAAAGAGACAAAAAAGGAAAAAAAAAAAAACAATATACCTCTATGGTGCTTCATTAATTCCTTTCAAATGCAATACAGGTGGACTTTAGAAATTAAATTGTTAAACCAGGGATAAAACACTAAAGATAACATTTCTGTAGTCTAATTCTAAACCATGCCATAAAAATCAAAGAATGTACGTTAAGCTAGAGTATAATCATTTTTTAAATTTCAATCACTGTTTAGATAAAAAAGTGAGAACATTTTTTATTTGATGACCATAGCCCTCCATAACCCACTTAAAGATTTCTAATATTTTCGGAATTAACTGTTCTTTGTCTCTTTCAACAACTAAGAGTCACAAATAAGATATTCTATCTAAAATGTCTTTGCTTTCATCTATTGATATCAATACCAGAGACCTAATTATACCTGGCATTCATTAGAATTCAAAGTTCCAAAAACTATAATGAATTTTGTAATAAGAGAAGTTTTTGA